TGAGTCCCTCACAAGGTCAGGCGATAGAAAGACCCTGGGGAATCCAGCCTATGTGTGCTTAGTTAGGTTCTCTTTTTTCAGCTCTACTCTATGAGAAAAACCTGTGTGTAGTGTCCCAAAATGACTCGCCTATCTGTGACAGCCTACTTTGATCCTCTGGTAACTGTTCCCAGCCGGCCTTCAAGAACAAATTAATTCTCCAGACTTTTGTTTCTTTGGTTTGTTATGGAGACAAAATTTACCTAGCTGTTCTACTTTGCAGCCCCACTACCTCCTACAAGAGAAAAGGTTTGTTTCCTCTACCAAAATGGTGCCCTATTATAGAAAAAGAGCCACTTATACATTCAAAGGCATGGTCGTTCAGCCTCAAAAGAAATAAAAATATTTTAATTGAGGAGGAATACAACAAATAAGTAGTCAGAGGAATACTGGCTGAGAAACTCCACAAAAATATTTCATCCAGTTCCCCTCACTCCCACTACTCCCTTCCTGCACAGGATTTCACCAAGAACCCAGGCCGGCCTCAAACTCCAGATCCTCCTGCTTCAGCCTCCCAAGTACACAGCTGGGGTTGCAGGTGTGCACCCCTGTGCCTAGTCTAGTGTTCTTGACACAGGAGACACTGGTCACACTTCCCAGGATTCACTCCCATTAGATGAAGAGTAGATGACTTGTAAGTTGGCAGGGTAACTGGCATACGGAAGACATGAAATTTATAAGCAATTAAGCAAGGGTGATTATGAACAGCCCATGACAGAGGATGGGCAGAGACATGAAGCAGATGCCCTGAAAACTGTCTTGGAGAAAACAGGAAAAAGTGGGCTTCGAAGATAGACAGATCCAGGACCAAGTTCAGTTCTGCCTCTGGCTTGCTATGCATCCTTGGACTGGCTTCCCCCTCAGCTTCCTCCTGAAAGGTAGGAAATAGGTCTAAAAAATGCCTGTGTCACAGGAGTGCCACGTGCTTGGTTTGTTGCGTGACATGGGGCAGGTGGTTGCTATCCACTGTAATTTCGTATAAACCTGGAAAAGGCTTACTCTTGAATTAAAAATCATCCAGTTTTTCACTAGGAAGTGAAACGTCTGAGACTTTCATGTCAAAGTCTTCAGAGCTTTCTTCTCCTAATTCATCCACCAAATTGGCAGAAAGAGCTCTGCAAGCTGAACTTGGCCAAGTCTGTTTCGTTCATCTGTCACCACGAGTGTGAGGTTCACATGGAGCTGACAACTGCCGAAGGTGGATGGGACGGACTGGGCGGGGTGGCAGCCTTGTATTTCACACCTCAGAGGGCTCAGCTCCCAACAAAAACATCGTAATTCTGTCAGTCAAGTGCAACTGCGGGGCTTGATAGACAGACGCAAATAAAACAGCCAGGGTAAAAGGTCTCTTGAGTCTTTTCTGGCTACAGTTTTGGGACCGACTTGGTTCCGGGGCCTGGGACTACTAGGAAGTACTTCCGCTAGGGACAGAGAGACAGACCACATCCTCAGCTGGCTTGAAAATGATCAAACTAGGAGGAACATTCCGTTCCTGTGAAAACCTGGAAATTCTTTTGTAAACTCTGATCAAAGTCCTCACTTTTTCCAGTATGAATAATGCTCAGGGTCTCCAAAGTGGAAGGTATTGGTGCATACTCAGGAATCGATGGGAGGGTCAGCAGCGTGAGCTAGGTCCTTGGGAACAATATTCTAATATGCATCAGGTTTACAAGAAAGCAAAGCTCTCTGACATTCACATAAAACAAATTAGGTACATGGTCATAAAAGTGCTCCACTGTAGCCTTTTCTAGCAGAGGGTCCTATGGCGACAACGTCTCTGTGTCAAAATGTATAAGGCTGAGCAGCTTCCTGTGGAGCACACTGAATTGTGGGATGTGAATCAAGCTGCATTTCGAGTTTTAAATGATACATAGTCTCAACGTGCAAAAATAGGGATGCTGACGAGGGAAACTGATTTTACACATCCACGTGCAACCCTACGGCGATATACCAAAGCTTTTCAAAGTACAGCAAATGAAGATGTACATGTAAGGTGCTAAATTCCATCATCAATGTAGTTTACTCTTCTTTTTCTTAATCTTCCTTGATGGCATTATTCTAGGAGGGCAGTAAAAACCAGGTGACTCTTAGTGACAATGAGATCTGGCACCATTCCCGGGTTCAACTGGAGCCTACTGTTTGTTTGAATGAGGACAGGAATGCTGCCTTGTGAACTCTGCTCCAGTAGTACAAAACACAGCATTCCGGTCCTTGGAAGGGAATGACCAGGAAATGCACATTAGGACTCCAAGTTGCACTCGATAATCTTCCTGTTCGTAGTTTTTCTGTAGACAGGAAGGCTAGAGCCCCACAGAAACCTGGGGCTGTAATGTCTAGGTTGCCATCAAAGCTCAGAATGAGGCCAACATGAGACAACATGTGTTTTACCCACTTCCTAATCTGTAGTAATAGCTGAATAATACCTCAAAGGTCAAACATAAGTATTATGTACTGCAAATGTAACAAAAAAAGGAAGGTGATCAAGAGATAGGTAGATGGGAGGGGAAGGAAAGAGGATGGAGACAGGAGTTGAGGTGTTATGCACAGGTACCGACTCTCACAGGGAATGTGAACATTTAGCACTACACATGAGTACCAATAAGCTAAACTAAAAGTACTAAACAAAGCTGCACAAGCCCTCAGATTTCGGTTCATGGAAGAGAAGTAAAAGGTGAGACTAAACATACATGAAAAAGAATAAGGTCACTAGAAATTAAGCCTTTTAATAATCGAGCATTTCCTTTTTATAAACATATTGATAAGCCTTCTAACCATAATAATGACTTCAGAAGTACTTACTCAGAAATACAATAGAAATTTATTTCAAAGCCTCCAACTCCAAAGCAAAATATGACAGAAGGCAGATGGTTTTTAGAAACCTTAAATGGGGTTTAGAAATCAGGGTCCCAGTGGGATTTATTATTTTATCCAGAGGCCCCCTATTACACGGCCTTTCTTTTAAAAACATGGCCTCTTTAGTACTGTGGTGACACTCCATTGGACTAGTAAGGATAGCACAGTCGATTTTTTTTCCTCTTTTTCAAAATCAGTGGCTTCCCATCAAAGGTAAGCATCTTGTATTATCTTTCAGTATGAAAATTCATGACAACATCTTCCTTCTGTAATGTGGTTTGCTATATACATTTTAACTTATTCAAGATATAGTTGAGGTAGACCAGTATTAGTGCTTGCTTTACAGATTAGTCATTCTATATTTTTATACCTTTTGTTTGTTTTTGTTTTTTGGTACCAGGGATCAAACTCGGGTCCCTGCGCTTGCAAAGCAGGTGCTGTAACAACTGAGCTAAATCCCGGGCTCTATATTTTTATATCTTATTATGTTATTATTATTATTTATGTCAAGGAATGTGATTTGACTACCACACATGGTTAACAATGATCCCTGTCACAACACACAATTGCTAGGCAACAGGAAAAATGTAGGAAGCTAATTTAAATCAGGCATTTAATTCAGTTTCAACTTTGCAAACCTTTTAGCTGTGCAGCTTTCAGTAACTAATCTCTGTGAGCCTCAGTTTCCCCACTAAACAATGGATGGCTCTCAACAGAGGGTTTCTTAGAACAAAGTAAAATATGTATAAAAACACCACACCAGAAAACAGTCTGCCTGCCATATACTAGGGGCCTGATATGTTGGCCGTCTGTCTTTGTATATAACATGAGAAAGAAAAACAATACCTGTAAGCACAAATGAAGGCTACCAGATAGCCCAAGAAAGCAAGGGCTACGTGGCTATGTGAGTTTTCAGGGAAACACAGACCCTAAAGGGCACCACAGGCGGAACTGAGATTGAACTATCTTTTAGCCTGGCAGGTACGCTCCAGAGAAAGAGGCCCTGAATGTGCTACTCCGGCTATAACCCCTGGATAGTTTCCTCCAGGTTGTCCTGGGTTGTTTCTGGTTTTGAGGACGGGCTTAAATACGAAGTCACAGAGCAAAGGTTCACAGACCTGGGCCTGCCATCTGCCCAGCATCAACCAAGAGCTGAAAGCCAGCCATGAAAGCAAACTTACTGCGGACAGGATTTGTGTTCCACACCTGCACATGGCAGGAAGACTGCAAAAGATGTTTGGAAGCCAGAGCTTCCTCTGAGCACAGTCGGCGAATCCATGCTAAGTGCCTTCCTGGACCACGTGGCTGGTCAGAGACGTTGCCATGGGGCTGCTACACCCCTGCCTCAGTGGCTCTGTGGGGTGAGCAGAGGCCCCCAGGCCAGTGACTGCTGCTATCAAAGAGCACAGTGCACTGTATAAAGCCCGGGGAAGGCAGCAGATGTTCAGGTATCACTCAAAGTACGTCCAGCTCAGAGCTGACAAGATAACCTGCTCCTGTGAGTGCAAAGCGGCCTGGAGTGCTGCAGGCACAACCTCCTCCAAGAAAGGACAGGGAGACTCTTCCTGGCTCCACAGGCTCTTCCTGCAGGTCACGCTCCCATGAGCTCCAAAGCCAGGGTGGCAGAGGAGGCAGGGGGCCGAGCCCTCAGGGTATCACTGGCCTGATCATGTTGCCATCTGCTTTTGCTGGTGTGGCAAATGCAAATGTTTCAGATACAAGTTTAAACAGATGAAAAGCAACAAACAAACAAAAAGATGTGTGAAATAGCTTAGGGTTTTGCTTGCAAAAAGAAACCTCAGAATTCTGGGAAAAGAATTTAAAATCAAAAGCCTCCTAAGTTATCTCCCATGTCCCAAGAGAGTAACTGGCATGTGATCACATCAAAATTAAAGGTTTTTAATGGACACCTATTGCATTCCAAATGTCACATGGTTCCAAAGCGTATAATCAAAAACTAAATAAATTTCCAAGCTTCAGAATGCCCAAGAAGTGAGAAGCATGTTCCTAACTGAAATACAGATGATATTTTGATTTTTTAACAAAGTTTTAACATACGTGATCCTCATTAATGAAGAAGAGCCAAAGTCACCAACCAAGATACTTACAGGGGGACCTGCAGGATAGTATAGAAAGAGAGAAAAAAACATGCATTAGTGAATTTGCAAGGCATTCCTATTAAAAAACTGACACAGTACTTGGAACTCAATGATTCTTCAACTTTTTTTTTAAAGTTCTGGGCCCTTGGACACCATCTCAGAAAAATGCATTTATACCTGGCACACAAAATTTTACAAACAATTTTAAGGAATTTTTAGCCGGTTTGTGAAATACTGAGAGTTTCGTGTACCTTAAGACTAATTTAGGGGCTGGGGATTTAGCTCAGTGGTTCCACCGCCTGCTTTGCAAATGTAAGGACCCAAGTTCAATCCCTGGAACCCCCCCAAAAAAGAATAATTTATAAAAATTTAGCTAAAATATCAATCAGGAAGATCTTTGGTTATTTGACAGATCAGGATGCAGAATGGGTAACCTTTTGTATTTGTAAAACAGCTAACTTAGAACTGTACCTGTTACTTGTTTTAGGAATGTTTTTCATTCGGCATAAAATAATCTTAGGCCTCGTGTTTGTATATGTCTTTAAAACCATGTACTTCTCATCATAACACAGGGAAAGACTAAGAAAATTTCAGTATTTCACATACCATATGCTCAATTAAAAGCTCATTACAAAATAGCTAGAAGTGGGAATTGACTTTTATTTTCTAGAGAACTTTTCATAAATGCAACATTTTCCTCCCTAATCTTTCTTTTGACACAAAGAACATTTCAGTGATTGTTTCAGTAAAGGTTTGCCATCTCTTCTTTGTCAAAATAATTTTATAAGGCACCCTGTATCATGAAATTTTGTAGTTTGGTGAGGGGATACTGCTACAGGTTTCCAATTACTTAGATTCAGTGAAGTTTTAAGATAGAGTTTGAAAATATTCTTAATGGAACCCAGCAGCTACACTACTCAAACTAATGAATTTTCATAATCACCTTTTACTTTAACATCTTTTTGAAAACTGTAGACTCCTCCTTCACCAGTGTGCTGAGAGGTATCTCAATATTTAGCAACCGATTGTGTTTATACTGACAAATACTGGCAGAAAATACCGGGAACAAATATTTCAAAGCATGCTACAATCAAATTTAAATTACTCATGTTTAAAGAAAGAACTGATGGCCTGCTGATAGCTTTGACTGGTCATTTACATTTTTGAAATCTTAGATTTATACATTTATACATATAAATGAACTTAATTATTGGTAGATCTTAATTTCAAAAATATTCTAATTTGCCCTTTCTATATTTGGCCTAAAAGCAAAAAGTCCCTGAAGGGGGAGTCAGCATGATTAGTTAGCTCTGTTACAGGTTCTGGTCATGAAAATTGGCACGGCCTCGGTTGAGTCACCTGATCGCGCTGAGCCTCGGTTTCCTCAACCACAGACTAAAATGCTAGGTGTTCATTAAGGCTCTTGTCATCGCTCAATCCGATGGCTCTATAAGAAGAATACAAACTGCCAAAGCTTGAAAAGAGAAAGCATGACAAAATTGTGCCAGTTGGACAAAATAATGACAGGGCTTTCCAAAATATGTGCCCTAGTATCCTGAGGCAGATGTTGAGGAAAACCTGCATATCCTGACCACCTAAGGAGAGTGAAACAGGAGAGCCAGGGCCATGCCTGGCGGCATGGCTAGGAAACCTTCCGCCGTGCGCCGGAAGAGCCGCCATAACTCGACACGGTAAATAGGCCACCTCTGAGTGTCAGTGGTTCCGGAATAGAACAGTGCTTCGCAAACTTCTCAGCTTATAGTTTGACAGACATAACAGGAACATAAAAAAATTCTAGCTGCAGCACAGAAGATTTAAACCCCCACACAACCTCCAGCAAGGAATACTATCATTAATTGCGAGGAACAGATGTGGGAATCTCCCCAGAACGTGAATGACACGACACAGCTGAAGGAGAGACTGACCAGATTCTCCTCTTCGGCCCCTCTTCCCTCGTTTCCCCGGAGGACCTGAAATACAAAGAATAGTATTTTGAATGTATTTTATTTCTGGTTACAAAATGGCTAGTATATAATTTCTATGTATTTTCACACTGTTTTAAATCACCAACTTCAAGAAAAGGACCAGACGTTTGTAAAGGTCAATACTGCCTTTATTGTTTCAGCAAAACTCTTAAGCTCCATTTAATTATAAACGAAAGCTGGTTTAGGTATCTAATCATTTAGTGTTATTTAAGAACACTGAAGATTCAGCATTTTTGCACATTCTACTTGGATATCAACAATAAGAAAGATTTTGCTAAGCAAACTGTTTGCGTTGAGAGTTCACATTTCTCAGAAATCTTTTTCTGAAAGTTTCAGTGCATTACTAATTAAACATATTAAGTCCAAATGACTATTGTTTATTTTCAGTCAGGTTCATCATGATTTTAAAAATATTTAGCAATTAATTAAATGTATATGTTGGTAAGGAAAATAACCCTTACAAATATTTGTATTTATTAAATATAAATATATTTGTATTTCGTTAATTGAGAATGACCTGCAAAAACTCACAATCCTTTTAATTGGGCTGCATTTAGCTAGTAACCTTAAGTCTGATTGTTCTAAGAGACTGGCCCTTGACTTTCATATAACGAACAGCCTATATGATGATGCTGTTTCAAAAATAGAGAAACTACTTTTCCAGTGAGTTCCCTGTGAAGATCACCAAGCTCATATGAATCAGACCCAGCACACGATTATAGACCTGCACAGTGTTCAAGCCATTATTCTCAATTACATAATTTCTGCCTTCATTTCCTTGGGTAGAAACAGTTCCCACTGAATTATGATTCAGCTGATCAGCGGAGTAATTGGCACACAATGAGAGTCGAGGATTTAACAATATTCACTGGGAGAAATAAGCCAAGGAAAATAGAGCACCACCTGGCCTTAAAGAATGAGGTTCCAGGTAGCACCAATGACCTCTAAACTCTAGCAGGTTCACGACATGGACAGCACAGACCTGGGCACCCAGCCACAGTCCATGCACTGCTGAGCCACCGACTTTCATGTGGACCTGCTGTCAGGAGAGCCAGCAGGGTCAGCAGCCCAGGGAGCTTGCCTGGAATAAGTGTGGCTATTTGTGTTGTGCAAGAAAGCACAAAGGCAATTAAATAGTAAAATCAACTAAAAACACCAGGAGAGGCAGCTGTGCAACAAACTCTGAAACAGCCTTTGCCAATTTCAGATTTGCTTCTGTATTCCGGAATAAAGAAGGTTTTCATTATGTTTTGTGTATTCTTGGCCAGAGTGAGAGCAAGGGCAGAATCATAAAAACAGGTAAATAGATCTAGTGGAACTTTGATATGAAAAATATACATTTATATACCTGTCCAAACACATTCTGATATATTCTAATATATACAGCTTCCTAAAGATTAGCAATCAGATTTTTTGTAGTGTAAAGTCATTTAGAAATATAACATAAACAAAAAATATAGTCACTTAAACTATGACAGCAACCACTATGTACTTAGGTTGTCTACAGCTCACATAGTAGGACCACTGTTGAAGAGAGAAGAGATGACAGTTTTTCAAACTGAATGTAGAAGCCACAAGACTGATCTTTACTTCAAGTGTCAAATTACAAATAACTCACATTGAAACACATAGAAAGAAAAGTGTAGGAAAAAGAAAGAAAGAAAGATGCATAGGAAGCTTAACAGATAAAAATAAAATGTCAGAAATAACCACGGAGGAGATTACAATGGAAGGCAGTTTCACGGTCAGCCAACTCCTCACCGCAAAGACGGAAGGAGGCCTAGTCCTGATTTTTATGACACGTCCTAGAAGTCTTTAATTATTATTTATTGATTAGGAAGTAGCTTGCTATCCTACCCCGAGAAAATTCCTTTAAAATAGTAAAATTTATTAAGCAAAAACAACATATTGCATAAATATTTAAGTGAACTTAAACTGAAAAGTACTTAGAAGATATGAGATTATGAAAAAAATTATCAAAAAAGAGGTGGTATCTTTTGAAGAAACAAAAAAACAGCTACCTGTGGATACATGTGTCCCAAACATGCAGTGAGTTCTTCCAAAGAAATGAGTCAAATGTCACCGAAAATCTGTTAAATTGAAAACTGAAGAATAGAATGTAAGGAAACAGGAGATATTTGGCAAGGAACCCATCAAAGATGACAGGGTTTTGCAAAGATTATCGCAATATTTGAGAGAGAAAGTGAAGTTGAACTAGGGTAGGAGAGGGTTACACCTAAAATAACTGGATTTATAAGGAAAACATTTGACAGAGGAAGGGCACAGGCACAACAGGAAGCTGAAGAACAGGCAGGCAGTGAACGTGATTCCCAAGCCCAGTGAACTAGAGATCACACAAACAAGAAAGACCTCAGGGTCCTGGACATGAAGAGGATATCAAGTTAGAAGTCGCTGAACTAGATGAGCTGGACTGGGCAATGGGAAGCCGGCAGAGCAGCAGAGTAAGAAGGCCAAAAAAATAAACAATAACATCACAAAAGACATGAGACAGAAATTTCCCAGGCAAATCGACGTTAACAATAGCTGAAAACGACAGCGACCATTTCCCTCTCACACCGAGTGATGGAGAAAAGCATCAGGCAGGCGGGAGCTGTCAGGCAAGTTTAACGCTGGAACATTTCTTGCTCACTGAATCTGGCCAGAGCCTTGTGACAGAAATTTGCGATGAATTCTATCAGCAGAGCAACGTGACTCTGCAAAAGAAACTGGTTCAAGAATATGAACGGAAGGAGAAAGAGCAGAAGCTACTGGCAACAGAGAAAGCGAAGCTTCCAAGCAGAGAATTCATTCAATGAAACCATGAATGACAAAAAGCCAGGGAAGACCACGATGGCAGATTCATGACAACTGGTGCTGCTTAAGCTTCAGGGAGTCTTGATGCGAGCTCCACATTCGGAATCTGCAGGCAGGTAAGTGGAGACACTAAGTGAAGGAAAGAGCTGGAGAGGAGGCTGCGGACGGGGACGGGTACAGTGTGAAGCCTGTCCACAGACGCAGGCTGGGAGTGGGAGCAGCAGCAGCAGCAGCAGCAGCAGCAGCAGCAGCAGCAGCAGCAGCAGCAGCAGCATGATCGCCTAGGCCGCGATCCCAGGGCTACGGCTCCAACAGCTGCAGCTGGCTCTTGGGAGGGAGGCACCTGTCTGGACGCACAGCAGACGGCGGGTTACCCCCTTTCTGGGTCCATCTCCCCATCCTCCAGCGACGTTCAGAAGACCAAGCCAGGTTTACCTTCAGATCTTTGGATTAACCTTCCAAGCAAGCACAGATCAATTTCAGAACCTTCCACCTGCTTGCTTGCCCGCTGCCTAAAAATTCCTTCAAGATTCACGGAAGCCCTTCCATTCCACAATTGGAAGTAAAAGGCATAAACAGCAAATGCCTGCTAGCAGGAGAATGTGAACTGACATTTATTCTTTGTCTTCCCGTAAAACGTACTGCAGCATACTGAGGAGCTCACATACGACCCAAGGAGTTTCACGCCGTGCTGGGCTACCAAGGCAGTTCCAGCTCACCATGCTGCACGCGGCCATGCGAAGCATGGGTTCATGGCTAAAGCACGCTTAGCATGAGTCACATTTCCACAAAAGTGAAACGAGTGAAACCACTCGCCTAAGGTCTCACACAGCAGAGCTTCTGGGCTCCTGACTCGGTCTCTGTCCCCCACACCAGCCACAGACTGGCAGTGTGAGCTCATGTCCCACAGACCGAGGCTGCGTTTCACCAGTGCCTGCCAAGTAGGTTCGTGATCTGGCTACTCGGATGGACACAACCACGGCTCCATACAGCCCTGAGCTCTGGGGCAGGGACTTTCCTGTTCACCCTCAGATCACCCCAGAAGCATTGCCGGTGGGCTGCTGGGTGTATGTCTGCTTTATTTCATACTAGCTCAGTGTTTTCCATTAACAATCTTATATCTTTATTTTATGAAAAATAAACAATTCCATGACAAAATAAGAAAAAGCAGTTAATGAAATGTGTGCTTTTTATCTTGAAAGTAGTTACTCAGAGTACAAGACATTGACAGAAAAGATTCTCTCTTACAAAAGAGAGACACAATAGCACTAAAGTAGCACAATTTTTAAAAGAAAACATTTTTTTTTTAAATTCTGGAGATTTACTTCCCAAGTATTTGCTTTTTAAATCAGCATAGACTCCATGATATATAATGCAGGCTTGTTTTAAATGTCTTTTACATGTGTGTTTTTGACATTTCCTCAAGTTTTACAGTGGTGCCTCCGTTCACGAACTTACTTCTCTCTCGGATTCTAGTTGCAAACCAAACTAGATGAGAACCAAATCAAATTACCCCATAAGGTCAACGTTGAACCTAACCACTGAACTTGATTGGGTTCTTGTTCAATTTGATTTTGTGACCAGCATCGTGGAAAGAATCGAGTTTGTGAACCGAAGTGTCACTGTAATCTTTATGGAATGCCCGTTTGTAAAAGAAAGTTATAATAAAAGAAAGATAACAATTTTAGTTTAAAATAACTCCATTTCATAACTCTCATAAGAGTATTTTTAAACACACGATACTTATTTTAATTTTTGGCCAGTGCTGGGGGATCAACCCTAGCATCTTGTGCTGGGTTGGGGAGTAACTTTACTGTTTCCCTCTGGTTTTTTTCACAAACACAAAAGACAAACTAGCACATGTTTCAAGGGCTATCTTCTGGCAAACTCTTAGGCTAATAAAACATAAAAACTGTGGCAGTGATAGTGTTTGTGTCTTAGCTACAAACAAAAACAAACTTGCCCAATTTTGATTCTTATACCCTAACCAGATCAGACCACAACTTTAATAATGTGAACATTTCTAATGTCATCATCTCCTAAAAGTAGTAATAAAAGTTGTTTTATCAAATTACTAGAGGAAGGTAGGTTAAATCAAATAAAACTACCTCATCTTTAATTTTATAGATACTTTTATAAATATGGTATTTTAAAGCTTTTACACAGAAGAA